CAACCTCCCCGCCCCATTCTGCGCAGAGTGTAACGCTTCCCAATTTTATCTCATCATAGCTCTCTCTCTCTCTCTCTGCCTTCTACGTCAGCAAGCAGAGCAGAGAGCCAGCTACCTTCACCTTTATACAACGAAATCGGAGTTAGGAAAGGTGACGGTCGGTCGGCTCTCGCCCCGCTGCGATCACCACAGAGTCGAGTGGAGGTGGGCAAAATCCGGATAAATATCCGGATAATCTGATAATTCTCAATGAAACATTATCCTAATTCAGACTGTTAAACTCACTTTCCTAACCCGTTTGCCGAAGTAGGTGCACCTATTTGTTGAAATGATTCCTAATACGTTTGTCGAAATGGTTTCAATCCATAACATATTATTTACCGAAAAGGTCCACTAGCATATTATCCGGATTTTTCTAAAGCGACTCATTGCCCAGCCCTACCACAGACCAGCCTGCCCTGCTCCCTCCCTCCCTCTCTTTTGTGAGGCTAAAGTACACCGCTGGACCGCTAAAACTGCGCGACGACCGTAGCTCGAGTCATTCGTGTCCTGTTTATAGTTCAGTAGACGTCGAGTTCAGATCTCCTCGACTCTCCGCAGTGTTTCATTTTTTGATCGCACGCACGCACACACGGACGTTGGGAGTAGTTCGAAAAACCAACCAACCAGCAAGCAAGTAGATCTCTAGTAGATCGAAACGTCAGACCAGCCCCTTTTTCTGACTGGGACCAGGATATTATATTATTGTTAATTCCTCTACAACCCCTCAGCTGGCTTCTTGTGTGAAATTCGGGAGTTTTTATTCGGTTTTACAATCGCACAGTGTTGGATCTTTTCTGGAGTACCTCAATTCTAAAGGTAATTTGTTTTTTGTGTGTGTTTTTTATGCGTGTGTGTTATGCAATGCTATTATTTTCTTTAAAGCTGAGATCATACTCGACTCAGATCTATTTTGTACTCTGTAGATTTTTGTCAAATTTTTTTTTTATTATTTAAATTATATTTTCTCTAGATCTAAATCTAGATCTAGATCTAGATCTAGATCTAGATCTAGATCTAGAATCTAGATCTAGATCTAAATAAGCCTGGATGTACGTCTTGGATCGGACTAGATCTAGAATCTCAATTAAAATAATAGTGTTGTTTGAAAAAAGAAATTAAAGAGAGAAAAAATACCCTCTGAAACCTACAAAACAAGCAAACAAAACCCTTCCGGAAAACGTATAAAATGGGACGACTTTTGAAAGGGTAGCCTAGATCTAGATCTAGATCTATATGAAAACATGAGAAATGAAAACAGGTAACTGTCTGTGAGTGTGTGTGTG